AGCTGGTTTTACTATTACATTCCTCAGAACCATGTCCAAAGAGCTGTCTGTGATCTCTCTTTGAGCCTTGCACGTCTGAGCTTTGGCTGGCTCAGCTGTCAGACACTGAATGTCAAACTTAGGAGGCTGCTGCTTTTCCATGGAAACGCTCTGTGCAATTGCAGAAATAATCAGGCTTGTCTGGTGGTTGCTGTGCCCTATTGTTGGATGCTTCTAGACACTAAACTGAATTGTCCTACCTTGACAAACTGAGTTTTCAGCTAAAATCCAGCTCTGCTTTTGTCATCTCTCATGCTTTTTTTTTTTGAATACAGATGGATTGAGAAGGATTAATGTCACAGTTTATTCTGCTGTTGGAATGTAAGCCCTTTGATGTTGGCTCTCTTTCTGTTCATGCTCATCTTTCAAAAGCAGCTCCAGACCTTTTGCTTCTGTGTAGGTACCACCAGTATGAGCTGTCTCGTATCTTGTATTTGCAAGGCCTGAGCTGCAGTATTGTCTTCAGGGAGGCTGTGCTATCGTACATTCTCTTTAGCAACTCTTTCGTGCACTGTATTTTACTAGTGACATAAAAATAATTCAGTGTTTACAAAAAAATAGTGTTAACTGTTTCTTTGCGATCAGCAATTTTCAAGAGAAATTGCTTTCCTAGAGAAAGGGATTCTCATCTAGGGCCTTTGGATTGATGGATATTTTTTTTTTTTCAGTTATGTTTTACATAATTTACTTTCCATAATACTCTAAAATTATGTTAATCAGTGTGCCTGACTAACTCTAGGTATGCTTTGGTGTTGTCTTTAAAGAAAAAACAATGTCCTTTTCTACAGATGTTACTAACTTGGAGACACTACAGATACAGCTCAGTGGGAGAGGTGCCATAAAGTATTTAGAAGCTAGAGTAATTCCAATTTATGGAGTAAGTGTTTCAGTGTATTCGGCTGGTGCTGTTACTGATCTGAAAATAGCTATCTTTGGAGACGTAACAGTAGAAGTCTTATTTTTTCTACTTCTGTAAGGTATTTAATTTCATAATTTTAAAGTTATTCTGGAGGATTGCCTATGAAGGAAGGATAACTTTCAGACTTGTACACCAAACAGGTCACTAAAATGGCTTAGTTTGAGCCCTGTCCATGTTTCTTTGTTGTCATTTAAAAATAGCTGCCAAAAATAAACAGCTGTTGTAACACTGGAAGAATGATTGCTGCAGGAGATGGAGACAGTCTATGTCATTGAACTGGTAAGAAGGAGATAGCTCATCTTCCTGCTGCAGATCCCGCTTTTGTGAGCAGCAGCAGTTTGGAAGGGAAAGGTTTATCACTCAAAACATTGACACCACTTAAATAAACAGCGACCCTTAAGAACAAGAGCAAAAGTTGCTGCCCCTTCTCCCACTCCCAGCTTATGGGGGCACCACGTGAAAGAATAAGCTCTGTAGTCTTGTTTCGTGTGATGCTAAGGAAGCATGTGCTGATATAAAACCGTGGGGCCTGAAAACTCTTGGGGAGTAAGGGGAGCACAACTCACCCAGGTGTGAGGTCTCCATTTGCTTTATGTCTGCAGAGGTGCTGCTGAGGAAGCATTTACTATCTGCAGGGCTTTAATTCATTGTTTTCCTTCTGCAAAGTACAGTGTTTTTTAAGTTAGGAAAACAGCCAATTGAGATAAGACTGGAAGAGCATCTCTGTCATACAGATGGATCTTACCCTTTTTGAAAGCCTCACCCCTTCTGTGCTTATCACAAAAAATGTTAAGTCTTGGAATTCTGGACAAGTAAGAGGAAATTTTGCAAGTTTCAGCCCTTACAGTTGCTTACAGAATATTTTTTATACTCTTAAAAATTTAGACATCCTGTTTCCCGTGAAGTGAACTTCCTCAATACCAGATAGTATCAAGAGAAATACGTACATATATTGAAGCTGCTTTCTGTTTAGAAACAAAGGTGATACTATAATAGAGCAGATCAATGGTCTACTGTATTGCTTTATCTCTGGCAGCAATGTACAGTTGATACAACTGTCAGGAATTACAAGGTTGTTTTAGTAGAAGTCTAAAACCAGGTATGAGAAACGCGCAAAAGTTCAAAACCATGTATGTGTGAAGCCTGGTGTCACTTATGTGCTGTGGTTGGCTTTATAAATAAAGCTTTCAAGACTTATGCAGAGAGTGGAGACTAAATTCTGTCAATATGACTTACTCTGAACTCATGTAACTTGTTCTGGGTGAATAGATTTGAAGTGATTATCATCATAAAAAAAACCCAAAACAAAAACAAAACAAAAAAACCCACCCAAACCTATCTATTCTGAAAAAGATACATTTCTAAAGTCCAGTTTGAGTCCCCCTCAACTTGCATAAAATACCTAAGTCTTGGTCTATCAGATAGCAGCTGGGACTGGAAAAAGCTGAAGCATGTGGTGACAGTGGCATAAAAGACAATCTCTTCAATGGAATCAATTCAGGAGACAGGATGTCAATATGTTGTTTATTTTTATTAATATCTTCCAGCTAAAACCAATTTGTTCCTAAACTCCTGACTCAAACTGGGCCAAAGAATAATGAGCGTTATCTAAGTTTTCTTTCCCTACTCCAGCTCTCTTCAAAAGCGTTTTGGATGTGCTGTTTTCCTCTCTCTTTTTCAAGTAGTTTGAATAAAACTTTTGTCACGTATACAGAGGATACTTGTTTAGTGTCACTCGATGTAACTTACCTATTGATTCTGCCAAAATTTGTACTGCATCCCATGGCCCCTTTCTTTGTGTGATGGCTGCTCCATGTAGTTTATTCAAATTTTTGCATTGTATCTGTGTAAAATCAGACTTAAGAATTAAATTCCAAATAAGAAGCTGAAATGGATTCTGACTGCTGTTGCCCTTTATTCTGCTAACAGTCCTCCTATAAAGAGTACAGCTAGTACTTGTTCAAAAACAGTCTCAGGATTTTTGTCAGTGTGTGGAACAGGTTTTCCAATGCCAAAATTGCATAGTATTTCAATAAACAATATAATTTTTTTTTTAAATACAAAGTTATAATTAACATAAATCTAGAAAATCACTTTGTTGGAGGTGTCTTTCATGAAGGAGCAAAAAAAAAAAGACTGAAACTGAACTGGAATCCCTGTAATTCTGTTTGCCAAGAGCTGTAATTGATACAGCTTTTTCCCAGAAATGCATAAATAAATAAAATGCATCAGTATATTAAAACTAATTTCTGAGCCATGGTCTTTATTTTTAAGAGGCAAATCAAGAAATGCTATCGGTATGTTTCATAATACTTAAACACTGAAGTTTTTGTTATCAACAATTGGCAAGTTAAATAGGAAGTTGGCTTTCTTCCTTACTTTATTTTACCTTTATTGCTGATGAATGATTAGGTTGGTCGATGGTTGCCTAAGAAATTTCTGATGATGTTCTGATGGTGCTTATTTAGAGGAAGAAAATGGGTTGAAATCAGCAGCATGTGTCAGAATGATCTACTAGTCCCGGAGGGGAAGTTGGCAGACCCGGGTTTGGTCCCACGCCTGTCATCGGGACCCGCAGAGCCCTTGTGAGCTCTGCGAGTCCCCTCCGAAGTCTGGGCCCTCTTTAGCTGCCACGCTTTCCATGGTGGGGACTCTCCCACAGCTTATTCGAGCCCCGTCAGCAGCCATCTGAGGGGCTTCCAGAGATAATACGTTAGCAGTTTAATAGTGGGGTCTCTTACCAGTGTAGGAAAAACTTAGATGTGCTTGCTGTGAAACAAAACTAACCTCCTTATGCAGTGGAGGATGAGGGAAATGAAAAATTTGGGGGGGAGAAAATTACTGAGCTCCATGCCTGGAGCTACCCAGAGGAAAAGACGGGCATTTTTGTGATGATGGGTTCCAGCACAGGGTTTTTCAGTCTTTTACAGGAGTAAATGCTGCCTTACAGGACCAGCTGCAAGATCAAAGGTGCCATTAAAGGAGAAAGGAAGGGAAGATGGTTTCCTCAAAAGAATAATTCAGCAGACTTAAGTTAGCATGTAGGAACTTGAAGTCCAAATTTGGCTCAGCGTTAAGTAAAATTGCCCACGGTTTTTTGACGCACTGTTAGTCATAAGCACCGCATGCTTTTGAGAGCGAAGGAGAGAAAGTTTGAATACGTCAACAGGGTCAGACCATGGACTTCCGTGCTGCGTGCTTTTTCACATCCAGTGGTTTGAACCCTAAATATTTTGAGACATGGTGCTGTGCAGCTCATCAGTATTTGAAGCTTTAATACATTCTTTCAAAGCTCTCTTTATTTTGCAGACAAGATCGTTATGAGTTGGTCTTGAAAAGCCACTTCCCTCTCCCCTCTAGACAGTGTTGGTGGGAATTTTGTGGAGCTGGTGCATGCCACTGGTGTAGGTGTGTAGCTGCACAGGATCTGGCTTGGTGAGAGCAGTGGTTTCAGGCACAGCTTTGATGCAAAAAAAGGCTTTTCCAGACACCTCACCCCACCCCCAGCAGCCTAGGGGTGCAGCGGAGGGACACAGTGGTTTTGGCTTAGCGTCTGTTTCGGCAGATGCAGGAGCAGATAAGCCTGACAGAAGCCCTAAGACCAAAAGCCACGGGTCTGTGCAGTTCTTGTTGAGGATAACCCAGGTTAGGAGATCACAGTGTTCTTGAGGGGACCAATTTCAAGGTCTGGGAGATAGAGATCAGGAAGCAACCATTCCTATTGTGCTGAAATTAAACCGATTCAGGGGAAACGAGCCTGCCTTCAGAAAATCATTTTATCGGGGAAAATCAGTCGTCAGCTAATTCCTCTGAACCCTCCGTTTGAGCAATAAATGAAAGCTCTCGCCGGCTCCCCCTCCATCTTAGCGTGTGTTTTACTCCCCTTTTGCCCCCCCCCCGTGGGATGTGGGAGTAGGCAGTGTCAAGGTTAAACCTGGTTGCAAGCTTTAGTGAAGGTGTGTGCCGCCTGCTTGGGAAGGCAAGGCACCTGCTAGGCATGCCCAGTGAGCGCTGGGAGCTGGCTCTCCCGTCCCTCGGGCTTTGCAAGGCTGAAGCACAAAGAACGCTTGTTGCCCGGTCCCCGGGAGTCTCCCAGTGCTACCACTAGCTGGGGAGGACTGGTTACCATGGAGGCTGCCATCTGTTCTCTCCCCGCTGGAATGTGATTATCCTCGCTGGGTTGGGAACCAGCAAAAGCAGGGGAGCGTGTGCTGTCGGCAATTATCCGCAATGGAGTGCGTTAATGGCAGGCTGGAATTAGCTAGCTGGAGGAGAACATAAAAGGATTTTACCAAAACTATTAATGATTTCTAGCCAAGAGGAGTAAGCTTTTTGCAAGGTCAGTACTAAATTCATTATGTATGTAGGTAGATAATTTTTAATTGGCGCAGCGGCTTTATGATTTGAGGATGGTAGCACCACGGCAATAATGCTTATTGTTAAGAGGGGTGTGTGTGTGTGTGTGGGGGGGGAATTGTATTTTAAAGATCTTTGTTTGTCTGATTCAGTTCAAGCAGTTTAATTTGGGGTCGTTAAAGTAGTAAGTCAGAACAATAACTGGCCAAACTGACACAAATGGAGCAATTCGTATCTCTTGTCTTTATGAAATGCTTTTTGCTGCCAAATCTCTCTGATTTACATGCCTCTTCACGCTGATTGCTTTTTGTCTGAGTGATTTCTTTTTGGATGTGATACGTGTTTGGTTTTCATACTGGCATGAAGGGTGAGATGAGGGGAAAATGTTCAAACAGAGCTGGTGATACAATGGGTGTTTAGGGTGTTTTATGCAGTTTGCTCAGAGGAAGCAGTGTAAAGGGAGGCAGAATGCAGGAGCAGGTTTTGCACTCTTCGTTCCCACCCTCTGCCCCTCTTTCCAACTCACCAACTGACCAAACATTTTGGACTCTTTCTCTTATTGAGCTTAATTGTATGGAGACTTGACACGAGTTTTCAGGCTACTCTGCAAATATTGTGACTGTTTTGGTAGCAGCATTTCATTTAAAGGGGAAAATAAAATTAGAACTATATGACTGTAAGGCTTTTGTGTCCTATAAATGACATTTTTTGTTGTGCTGTAGGAGCTAGGAATATTATGTTTTTTTTCATAATAAATGCATGATGAACGTTTGTGTGCAGTTCAGATTACTGACTTAAATGAGGGGCATTAAAATTAATTTGTACCCCGAACAGACAAAACATCACCTCAGCAGATATTTTTAGTCACGTACGGGCTTTCCCTTCTCAAATAAAGCTCTTGCGCTGCATCCTTCTTTCCAGGACTGCCATTTTTATTTTGTACAGGGGAGGACACTACTAGAGGCTTTTAATTAACACTATTGTCAGTCTTAATTCCACCAATGTGCCCTCTGTTTTTATGCACTTAAAATGTCATTGCATTGGAGTCTGGGAGGAAAGTTACCAGTGGAGTTAATAAGTCACTACCGCAACATATTTGACTAGGGTAAATTTTTAACCTACAAGATACTTTCCAAGTCTTGGTGCCAAACAAAAGTGTGTGTGTGTGCGGGAGGTTGAGGGGGTTTTTATTTCTTCGAGTACTTTAACTGTTTGTGGTGTATGAGCTTTTCTGATGCTTGTGGGAGCCTGGTATATGTGCCCAAAGTCCTTTCAGACATCATGTCACGCTCGCGCATCGGTGAAACTGGGAGAGCTCTGTTAATGGGAGGTGTATCATCTTGTAATCAAAAAGACTTTTTTTAACCCCTTCCGTCTCCAGAATTCAAGTATTGCATTGCCATTGAAGTGGGTGACTTATGCGAAACTTGTTTTTAATGGGCTGCAGTGGACCTGTTCACATGTGCAAGTTGCAGGTCTGTAGTTGCGTTGTTAAAAAGAGCGCAGGAAGCAGATTGGCTTTTGTGCTTGAAAAGAGATTAGACTTTCACCCTTCAGACACTGTGCTGAACCTAGCTGGAGGGAAGGGCAACCACCTCAAGGTTATTCCGTAGCTGGTGTGGGATGTGTTTCTGTTCCCCAGTCTGTTTCTAGGAAGGTGGCAGTTGCCTACAGGATTCGCTGTCGCTGTGGATGTGAATTACTGTCTCATTGGCAAGCCCTCATAGACAGCAACAATCGTATCGACATAAAGGTAATGGCTTGTACACCCCTTCCGGAGGTGATCTCTTCTGGGTGCTAGCTGGTGGTGTGCTGAAAAGCTTGTTTTTCCACTGCCTTTGCTAAACCTGTTTCAAGGATAATCAGGGGACTTTACATTTCGCGTTCTCCATCTCTTATTATATTCTCTGATGAGCACTGTGTAAATACCCAAATAGCCTCGAGGAAACAGGTTTTTTATTTCCTTCTTGAATGGTCTATATGGGTCTGTTGCATACTTTCTTTTTTTTAGTTACTGAATTTTACTTTAGGTCACTAGGTCACTGTTGATTTGCAGATGCAGGATTTAAAGGCTAGACACTCTTTAATCCATTTGAGCATCTGGCCTTTCATAGTAGACAGACCATTTCCGTGTAACAGAGGAGCTGTTAAATGTCTGTTTGAAATTAATGATATTTTTTAAAAGATTCTTCTTTTTTTTTTTTTTTTTTTTAATTCTTAGTAGATTATTACAAGTGGCTCTGATGTTTATGCTTAATGTAAACAAATGAAGGGTCAATGTAATCTGCTACATGATCTCTTGAAGGAGATTTATTCTAAAATACAGGCTTTGGGGCCAGCAGAGGTGATGGGTCATACTCAGTAGTAATTTGGGTTTTTTTTTAAGAGAGTAAGCGCAATTTAGGTGCATCATCTCACAAAAAAAAAGACATTGTGAATTAATTCCCAACTAGAATTATATATGACATATATATATATTATATATGTCTAGAAATATAAACTAAGATACAGTGGGTTGCTCATAATCTTGTTTATAATGTCTGTACATACTAAGCTTTCAGGAAACCATTTCATTAAATGGTAAAATCCTGAGTCAATATATAGGAAGCTGGCTTGCATATAAACGATCACAATTGTTCTCTTCAAACAGACAAGTCTTTCTGCTTTTCAGTTGACACATGACTGTGGAATGCTGTTTGACATGGCTTGGATTTATTTATACATTGTGTTCAGGCTGCTACTTAGCAGAGCTTTTAAACATGCTTAGTTTTCAATACACTTTTTTTTTTTTTTTTTTTTTTTTCCTGCTGTTTAGTCATGTATTCTCAACATTAAAACAAACAAACAGAAAAGCCCAGGCTCTGTACTCACTCCTTATAGCAGTGTGGCTATTTGAAGGTTAAAGCCTGCAGCTCCCTCTGAAGGGCCAACTGTTTTGGAAAGTCCTGGTGCCTGTTTACAAACTGTGCTCTCTGCGACTCCCATGAAATAATGGAGTCCTCGGGATGCTGGATGTGGGAGGATAAACCTGCTGACACAGGCACTGCTGCTGTTGGTCTGTTTGCCTGGCCTTAGTCATGTAAAATTGCTTGCGCCTTTTATGCTTTGTATGGGTGGGGACAAAATGCAGGCATTAACACTTTTTTTCACGATGCTAGAAATTGCTGTACCAGATTTTAGAAAACATCAGATTTGTTCTAAAGCAGATCACCATACTAAACTGGTGCAGTGAGACCGTGAGTGACTAAATGTGAGAGACTGGCAATGTGCAGATTAATGATCTATGAGTTGTGGCAGGTTTTTTTAGTCTTTTCCAGAGGGGCTTGCATTTGGTACAGAAGTACTTTTGTCCTTCCTTGTTTAGGTGTCTAGTTGAAGAACCTGAAGACTCAGAGCTGTTCTGCAAATGATTTCAGAAAACACTCCTCCCCGGTGATCCTTGTTCAGAGCTGGAGAAGAAACAGGGCAGGGATGAATGACTGCATGCCTGCAACAGAGTACCTTGAAGTGGAATTACTTCTAATTTTCTTCCCCCTAGTACATACAGTTATTCTTACTATATGAAATAATTAGCTGTTAATCTTCAGTATAAAAATACTACTTGGACTGATAGAGACGTGGGAATTGTTTACTTTTTGATTAATATCTGAGCAAAGTAAGTACTTGAGTACATTTGGGAATGGGGAGCTCAGGACTGGAAGGAGCCATTTGGTCACTGAGGCGTTTTTCTGTGGGTTTTTCCCCTGCCCCCTTCAGTCACAGGCAGCCATATAACTTAATCTCATTTAGATGTTCAGCAGACTTTTCTTCTGGCACACTGAGAATCACAGACTGTTACTGGCTGTGGGAAACAAACTTTAAACAAAACTCTAAACTGTAGTAAATGACCAAGAGCCAGTGTTACACTGTGCTTCAGAAACTGAGCAAGAAAGATTGAAGCCATTGCCAATGTAGTGAGATTCCTGTTAGCAGAAAACTTAAGCAGGCACTTGCTGCTAGAAGTTTATTTCTCATGAGGTTTACCTGGACTCAGTAGCCACAACCAGCCTCCAGTGCTTCAGAAGAAAAGGAACCCAAAGCAGCCAAATTTTGAATCAGAGGGAAGAATAGTCTGTCTTCTAGTCCCGACAGTTGGCTAGTAGAAGTGCTTTTCCAACTGCTATCTTTGGAGAATCCTTCATTGCAGTTTTTTAATGCTTGTTCTTGACTACCTGTAGACATCTGCTGGCTTGTGTATCCTTTGGACTGTACTTCGGTGCTGTGGTTTTCCCACCACCACAGAAGCACTTTACCTTCCTGAAGATGGTATAGATGCAAGTAACCCTGGTATTAAACTGTTGCAACTTGTCTGTTCCACTTACACTTGTAATAACAGGCACTGAAAAAAACCCAAAACAAACCCCATGTTCAGCTGCCCAAATAATTACTGTTGTGGTTATAGTTCTGAGTACTTGGTTTCAATTTGATAGCTAAGATTGACACAAAGTACCATGTGCGCCTTCTTAGCAAAAACTCATGATTGAGGCTTCAGAAGACTTGAATTCCAGTCTTTCCTACATGTAAGGATTTTGTTTTGCAGGCACTGAGTAGCGCCATGGGTGGTGTGGTGCATTCCCTGGGGTGGTGTTGAGCATGGCTGCTGTTTGAGTAGTAGAGGGAAAATTAGCTCAAGAGCTTGTACTATTACTTGAAAGAACAAGTTGATTCTGTGATGAGTTATTGCTGCAGGACATGACCTGAACTTCTCACTTGGAATTTTTCTTCCTAGTATCTCCTCCTCAGTCCCAGCATCATTTCTGTACTCCTACAGCCTTGTCCCATTTCCTACACCAGTTTCTGGAGGTTTGGTTTTTTGTTTTTTTGTTTGTTGTTGTTGTTTTTTTTTTTTTTTTTAATGTTTGGTTTGGTTTGGTTTTGTTTTTTTTTTTTTCTCCTTTCTTAAGGTGATCACTGATGCTCAGGCAGATGAATAAAAGCATGACG